CAATCGCTTATCGCAGAATCGCCCTGTTTTGTCAGGTGAAGAGGCTCCTGCCCATATTGCCTTCAAGGCGACTAAAAGTATTCGCGATACAATTTTGCCGTCACCAACTGCTGGAATCGCCAGACTCTGATCTCCAGCGCTATGTGCAAGCCGAGTTCCTCGTAGCCTACATGCGTATGAGCGTGTCCAAAATTAGAAACTGAGCATTTCCTCGTTTTCCTCTCGTTTCGTTCTGTGGATAAACGGACAAACAATGAATCAGATGGAGAAGTTCACCCCATACGTGTCTCATTTGCTGGTAATGAAACACTGGAAGAAAACATCGACCGACGAATTGGAATGAACAGTGTCGTTCTGCGCGAACTATTCCCACCGTTGTGCATGAAGCAGAGACTAAACTGAATATGCTCAAGTCGATCCTTATCCCATGTTCACCTGTGGTTATGGGTCAAAGACCATGACTGAAAAGCTTCGATCCAGGTGCATGCAGTTGAAATAAGCCTTCTGAGGCGATTCGCTGGACTCACGCATCTCAGCACAGTCCTGAGTTCAGATAGCAGAGAATACCTCGATGTACGGCAGCTAATTATTCAGACTGAGAAGTCACAGCTGCTGTGGTTTGGACACATCTTGTGAAGGCTACCTGAAAGGAAGGCGAAACAGCTACTACCTGCCCAACTGAGAAATTGAATTTCTTGAGGAAAGTCAAGAGTGACTTGGGCCAAATATATCGACAGACGATGCTCCAGACTTGGGTCATCTTTTGTCGAAATTCAAATGCTCTCACAAGATCGATAACGTTGCAGACGCTGTCTACCTCCACCATACGATAGGAGAAACGATCATCAAGACTGACTGAATAACTTACTGTCGTGTCGCTGCCTACCCAGTCTCGATTTGAAGACAGACCGGGGAATACAGGCATGAAAGAACTTGTCCAAACAGGCTCCACAAGTTATGGAAGAGTCTGACGCCACCATCGTCTACGACCACAGTCCCCTGGCGCAACGGTCTTACAGCCTTCATGTCGAATGGTCATGATGATGAACCTGCTGCATTAATTATTTTATATTTTATTATGATGAAATGTGTGCTATTATTGTGAGGTTTTTTATGACTTGATGTTGTGAGCCACAGAATTCGATCACTTATCATTTTTGGTATTATTCTATCTCCAAAGTATGATTTATTCATCCCTCTTATAACTTAAACGATGGGCAAAATTTGCTGTGCCCATCATTTTATCTGGCGCATGATTTCTGCTTACTATTCCATCAGGCAAGATGCCTTATTTTAATGACAATGTTTGAGGTTACGTCGTGAGTACACCTTGCATCTTCCTGTTCGTCTAACACAATGTTTTACCCGTTTATCTTCCTTAGGAGGATGAGAGGCGGGTTCCCCGATCTTATTCTTATGACTGTGAGTCCAACGCTTTGCCGCAGGAGGAGAAAGGTCGTATGGAATTCAACAGCAAGCGAGCTTGTTCTTTTATTATAATTTTTAGCCTTATCGTAAAAGACCAAAAGTAGTTCACTTGTCCCATAATTAGCAGATATGCAAAACCGAATCATTTTGCATATGAACAGTCTTAACATGTAGCATATGTTTATCTTATATATCCGCTTTTCCTTGCCATGCACGCTTCTTGTGATATCATTGATGACGTTCAGTCAGTCAGTTCCGATGACCTCCTGTTTTTTTCAGGTAACGGAGTGGCTAACAGTCACTCTTTGTTAACTCCCGGGAAAGACAGATCAAAGCTTAATTCGAATGATTTCTTTCCTTAAGAAGCGAAGTGCAAATGAAGCCGTTTTATGTTTTGAAAGGTTATATGAAATGCCACTGGAATGAATGCATTTACCGTATTTTGAGCAGGCATTCGTGATTAAGTGACGGGTATTGATTTTACAAAGTACAACGAGCCTCTTTTGGAAGAATATTGAATACATGAGTCTACGCGTTTGAAACGATGTGAAGAACTGTGCCCTCGTTCAGGAAATCATTAGTCATGGAAGAAGCTGTCAATCTTAGTGAATGGGTAGTCGCTTGAAGGAGTGGCAGAATATAATCAATTAAACGTGTCTGCTTGTTTGCAATTATTTCGAGCAATAATTATTATTTATTAAAGGTATGGTAGCCTCTTGTACCTCAACTGCCTGGCTTATTTGAGACAATTTCTAGTAACTAAACCCCTAAGTCTATGTCTGCATTAAGAACGTTTATGCAAACCTTAAAGGTGAGACGGGGGGGG